CTCTCCAGGTAAGAATATAAATTTATTTAATATATATTTATATTTATAAATATATATATTAGGCTGCTTGAAGTGGTCATACTGGCTCCTTGACGCTTACCAGGTGCTTTATTCATGCTTTTCATTCTTTTTTCCTTCTACATTTTGAACAATTTGTTATGTCTTCAATTCATTAATAGTTTGTTGTGAAATATTTAGCCTGCTGTTGATCCCGTTCAGTGTATTTTTCATCTCATACATTGATGTTTTCATCTCCTTAGTTTAATTTGGGTCTTCTTTTTTTTTAATGTCATTTGTCTCTCCCTATGTGTCTTTTAAAATACAGTTGTAATTGCTTTTTTAATGTCTTTCTGTGAATTCCAGCCTCTGTGTCTTTCTAGGTCAATTTCAGTCATTAATTTTTAAAATTATGGATTGTGTTTTTCTTTGTATGTCTGATCATTTTTGTTTGGATGTCAAAAACTTGAATTTTATTTTACTGAATGCTAGATATTTTTATATTTCTATAAATATTTGTGTGGCTTGTGTAATTACATGGAAACAATTTGATCCTTTCAGGTCTTGCTTTTAAGATTTGTTGGCAGGATCAGGTCCATGTTTAGTCTGGAGCTAATTATTTCCCACTACTGAGGCAAGACCTTTTTGAGTCCTGTATGCAGTCAGTGCCCCATGAATTTGAAATTTTCCGGCCTGTCTGGTGGGAACCTTGACTATTCCTGGTCCTGTTTGCGCGCTGAGTCCTGTGTCTCATTTTTACGTGCTGCTTTCCTTCGCCTCAGTTACTTTCCTTGTGTTTCTGCCCTCATCAGTGCTCCGCTGCACACCCAGAGGGTGTCCTCTTAAGATCTCTGGCCTTTCTCCCTGTGCAGCTCTCTCCTCTGGTACTGTGTCCTTTGAACCTAGTTGCCTTGGTCTCCTCAGATTTGTCAGCTTCCCCTCATCAACTCAGGGAGTTAGCTGGACTCTGCTTAGGAGAGGACCGCCTGTGCTATGGCGTGGAAACTAAGGCAGTTAGCTGTGCAGGCACTTGTTTCTTGTTCTTCCAGAGATCAGTGTACTTTATTACCTAATATTCAGTATTTTGAAAATCATTGTTTCCTATATTGGGTTTATTTTTTAATTGATTTTGTTTGTGTTTAGTTGTTTCAAGTGTGAGAGTAAATCTGGTCCATATTTCTTCATCTTGGCTATAAGAGAAAATCTCTTTAGTCTGTTTTAAAGAGTAAGAATTGCTGGCTCCTAAACTTTCTTTCTGGGGCTTTCCTGGTGGCTCAGTGGTAAAGAATGTGCCTGCCAGCACAGGAGACTCAGGAGATGTGGGTTCGATTCCTAGGTGGGGAAGGTCCCTGGAGTAGGGAATGAACCCAGTTCAGTATTCTGCCTGGAAAACCCCATGAATACTGGAGCCCGGCAGGCTTAGTGACTGAACAACGACAAGGATTTCTTTCTACCTCGAGCTCGTTGATTTTGTTTTACATCTGTGACAGTTCATTTCCCATTTCCACAGTATCACACCCTCAGAATACTTAACTGTCTACTGTTGGTGCTTGGAAGGTTTCTTGGGATTACCTTTGGGTTATGAGTGAATCTTGTTTATCATACAAACACATACTACAGTGATGGCAGTCAGGGTGTAACAGCATGAAAATGGGTGTGTTCTCTAATACTGTCCTCAACATATTCAGAGCTGTTATAATCCAGTTTTTTAGGATGTTGTTAAAGAATTTCTTTTAGGAACTAGGTAAATGAGACTAATTGGAATGCTTAAAGTAGAATGCTTCTTTTATGGTTAACAACTACGGAGCTCTGCAACTAACATTTATATTCTAAAGTAATTACAACAACTTCTCTTTCATTTCAGTGGGTAATATTCAGCGTAAGATATTTAACTGTAAGATAGGCATGTAAGATTTCTCAGATCTGTATTTTGCTTAAAGGAAGGAGAAAGATGACCTTGGCTTTAATGCAACCACTTAATAGTTATATTACCATATTTAAATTAAATCTTTTCATTTCTGGACCTGTTTTTCCTAGACAAAATGGAGATAAAAACAGCACTGTTCTGAAAGGATAGCATGAGAACTGTATAAAAATACTTTATAAATCAGTATTTTTTCAAGATTTTTGGATCACAACTCACTTATAAACATTTTGTGTGGCTAGCTCATGCATATGTGTATGGATTTACAATACAAAATTTGCTACTGTACATAATGTATGCCAATATTTCCTGTTCTGTTTCATTGAAAAGTACACCTTAGGTGTGTGTCGGTGCATTCACTTGGATTCAATTCTTTGTAACCCCATGGATTGTAGTTCCCCCCAGGCTCCTCTGTCCATGGAATTTTCCAGACAAGAATATTGGAGTGGGTTGCCATTTCCTACTCCAGGGGATCTTCCCAACCCACAGATCAAACCTGTGTCTCTTGGCGTCTCCTGCATTGGCAGGCCACTGTGCCACCTAGGAAGCCATTAATGGATGATATCTCAGTTTCAAATACACTGTCTGTATAAAGAAAGAAATTATGAGGTATCATATTAATGAAAGGTTGAAGTATTTAGATTATTTCATTCAAAATATTACCAAGTTTGAATGTAGTATAGTTAAATATGTGTAACTTTATTAATAATTTATTCAAAATTATATCTCCACATTTTTAGTTTTAGTCTTTCTTTCCCCTGATAAACAAGCTGGTAATAACTCATAAATAATTTAGAGCAATGTCTGTAAGTTTTAAACAATGAAATTTAAGTGGCTTCTTATGTAGAGAAATAGTTTTGAGACATGTTAAAAGTCCTGGAACTATTATTAGCTTTGCATCCTTATTTTTTACTTAGTTTTCTTAATATTTATTTTTTTCTTTATTTTTTCTGTATCACTTAAAAGGAGATTTAAGATCAGTAAAACAGATGCCATCATAGTAAAATTTATTTGTGAATTAAATTTTTAAGCATACATGGTTATCTTTTGGTTAACTAAAGTAATAAATGGCTAAGGATAGTAAAGTCCATTGTTTGTGATCCACTAGCCCAAAGAAGTTTGAATCTATCCTACATTTTGTACAGATATGTGCCACTTGGGGGAGGGGGAAATCACAGCATGTTACACAGAAGGCATCCAGACTTTCCAGATCAGTAAGAAACTGATGAGGATCGTTGTTCCCCTGTGACTTTGTTCCATAGGTTCTGCTGCGTTGGTGGAAACCAATTCTATTACAAGCTAGCTGTAGTATCACATATTCTCCTTGACAGACACTTCTTTAGTAGAGTAGTTCTCTCTGCAGTAGAGGCCTTCCCTGCTTCCTGTCTCCTCGGTTTAATCTATTTCTAGAATTAAGTATCCTTAAAGTTTAGAAATAAACATGGAAGAACTCACATAACTGGTTGTGGTATGAACGATAGCATGTAATTTTGTAAATTTATAATGGATTCTTTGGAGAAGGGAATGGCAACCCACTCCAGTATTCTTGCCTGGAGAATTCCATGGACAGAAGAACCTGGTGGGCTATAGTCCATGGGATTGCAGAGTCGGACACGACTGAGTGACTAACCCACCCACCCACATAATGGATTCTTTAATTTTTTTCCTGCAGATAAACATGTTCATGTTTTTCTTTATATAGACTCCAAACCTTTCCAGACTTGTACTAGATCTGTTGCTGTGTAATACAGTGGAAATAATTATGTGATCTAATGCTCAAATAATCTACTGGAAGAAAGACTTTGGATATAAAAATGTTTCTTAATGTGTTTTCCAGATGTCTGTGGCCTTCTGAAATTGCTTCCCCCCCTACTTAATTTTAAGTCTCTTAGATTCACTAAGTTGAGCTATAGAAATTAATAAAGTAGAATGCTTGAATTGAATAAACAGTAAGAAAATCTCTCTCTCTAGAAAGCCATTACCAATATAACAAAAACAGTTTATAGAAGCTCAGCTCCCAAATGGTGATATGTTATAGTTGGGAAATAGTAAGTTAATTGAAATACTATGTTAGTACAGAGTTATACGTGATGTAATTTGCAAATAGTTAGGGACCGATACGGGCTTCCCTGGTGGCTCAGAGGTTAAAGCGTCTGCCTGCAATGCAGGAGACCTGGGTTCGATCCCTGAGTCAGGAAGATCCCCTGGAGAAGGAAATGGCAACCCACTCCAGTATTCTTGCCTGGAGAATCCCACGGAGGGAGGAGCCTGGTAGGCTACAGTCCATGGGATCGCAAAGATTTGGACACAACTGAGCGACTTCACTTACTCACTCACTCAGAGACTGATACAATCTATGTAACACAAACTATGCTAAACATAATTTTAATGTTTCTGTGATTCATTCAACTTATGGACAAGTAAATATTCTAGTTGAAAGTATTACATATATTTTAGTGTTTCAGAAGGTATTTTTCTTAATACTTTTTCCCAGCATTAACTGAATATTATATTTTAGTGGCTCTCATGGTGCTCTGCTTATGATATCACCTAGCTAAGTTTACTAAAGCTGTCAACAGTTTGATATACTTAAGGAAACAAAATTCTGATTGATTTTGATGTGTTTCTTTCAGAAAAATCAACACCCATGGATTTTATCTGACTGTGTAGATCAGGTTTTTTTATTCTGGATATCATGGTAACAGTACAGGAAATATGCATTATTTCTCATGTCTGCAAGTAGTCTTCACTGCTGAAGGAAGCAATTTTTTAAGCTACAGCCAAATTCATTTTGGTACCTTTTATGGAAATCTTGATTTTGTTTTTACTTTTTTATAACCTTTTGCAAAGGGTATGAACAAGCAAAGAGCTCATCTCATTAGGCAAGTCCACATTAATAAGAATGCCTAGAAGAGGGTTGATTCTTCAGACCCGGACCCCCTGGCTACTGTTGGGTCTTGCTTTACTCTGCAGTTTGATATTATTTTTATACCTTCTGGAGTGTGCCCCCCAGACTGATGGAAATGCATCTCTTCCTGGTATCATTGGGGAAAATTATGGTAAAGAGTATTATCAAGCCCTCCTACAGGAGCAAGAAGAACATTATCAAACCAGAGCAACCAGTTTGAAACGCCAAATTGCCCAACTGAAACAAGAACTACAAGAAATGAGTGAGAAGATGAGATTTTTGCAGGAGAGAAAGAATGTAGGGGCTAATGGCATAGGCTATCAAGGCAACAAAGAACAAGCACCTAGTGATCTTTTAGAGTTTCTTCATTCACAAATTGACAAAGCTGAAGTTAGCATAGGAGCCAAACTACCTAGTGAGTATGGAGTCATTCCCTTTGAAAGTTTTACCTTAATGAAAGTATTCCAGTTAGAAATGGGTCTCACTCGCCATCCTGAGGAAAAGCCAGTTAGAAAAGATAAGCGAGATGAATTGGTTGAAGTTATTGAAGCTGGCTTGGAGGTCATTAATAATCCTGATGAAGATGATGAACAGGAAGATGAGGATGGTCCCCTTGGAGAGAAACTGATATTTAATGAAAATGACTTCATAGAAGGTAATATGAAAAGTGTGTTGGTCCATTAATGTTAGTATGACAATATTCTGTTATTCTATGCTGATAATTTTCCCTGGGAAATAGAAGAAATCTAAGCATATATAGCAGAATACTTCCCAAGTTGAAGGGCTCTTAGGGTTGTGTATGTATTTGCATGTATATGTATTTGCATTCATCTCTGAACTGGTTTTGATGTTCCTTTTTTATATCTTTTTAAATGTATGAACTAAGGCTCAAGATTTGAAAACCATTTGCTAAAGGAAAGAAGAACCTAATTAAGATTAGTGGTTATTCTGTATTTTGAGTGGAGGAGAAACACATGTCAGAACATCAAGGAGGCGTACGTAATTTTGAAAAGCATATTTGGCGTTTGGGAAAGTAAAGAAATAAACCCATTTTCTTAATACAGACTGCAGAAAGGGCATAGCATTTTTATATGTCAAGATGGGACATGGCTCAAAAGTTGAGGAGCACTTATATACACTTAAGAAATTTGTGGATTGATGTAATTATAGATTATATCAGGAATAATTATAGACCCCAACCCATCTCCATCTTATACCCCATGCTAGATATTTAATTGTAGGCTTAAAGCCGCTTTGAATACAAATATTTCTTAAAAATTCTCTTTGCTTGATTCTGTATGCCACATGTAGTTTTTTGTTTTTTTTTTAGACCCCAATCTTCATGGGTGTCACTTGCTATAATATAATACCTTCAGCCTTTGGAGGCCGTCAGCAAGGGCCTTGTGCTTTTCTGTGGCATTTTAGCTATCTTCTCCCTATAGCCATCTCTTTTTACCCCCTGTTACTTCCTGCAGTTTTTGATGGGTTGTTTCTTTCAAAACTCCTGTAGTTTTTCTGCAGGCTCAGCTTTTTATCGTTTCACTCTATGTTTATAGTGTATGGCAGAATTGAAAGCTGCAAAGGAAGTAACTAAGATATGTAAAATGTCTTCATATCTTCTTAAAAAGAAAGGAACCTATGCCAGTTTTATGTTCTGTAGCTTCTGCTTTCTTTTTTTTTTTAATGTAATTCTCCTGGGATTCTGTCACTTATAGGATTTTTCTCTGTTATGGAACATATTTTGTCCCTTGCTTCTCCTCCATTGTGCCACTTCAGAAAAATAATTACTTACAATGATTTAGTAGCTCTTGTTCCTCTTCCAGGCTTCAGCTTAGATGTCACTTCTTCTGGGAAGGTCATTACCAACCTACAAGTTTAAGATAGCAGTGTTCTGTATGTTTTTGTAATCTCTACCCTGGGCCCCCTCTCACAGCACTGTCTTAATATACCACATTGCCCATTTCCTGATTTGTAGTTCCTGTTACACTATAAGCCTTAGGAGGAGTGGGACCAATCTCTTGTTCACCGTTTTATTTCCATATATTGGCTGACTGACACATCTGTAGGTCTGAACTCTCTCCTGAGTGTCACACTTAAAAATCAAATTGCCTAATAGACTTCCAGGCTTTTCTCCCAAAGGCATCTCAAATCACTGTGTTTAAATTTATACTAATTTTTCTTTGTCTGAGTTCATTCTGTCTAGAGTCTGTGTGTTTGCATGTGTATATCACTATATTATTATTTCCTTTTTCTGTCTCCATTGCTAGACAGAACTGGGACCATGTAGCCCTCTTTATGCCATTAGTACCTGACACAGATACACTCAATTCATTTTTTGTTACGCTGAACCAAGCAACAGAAGTTTTGACTTTCAGTCTAGAATTTACTATTGCTAAAAGTAATTTCTTTATTTTCATCATTTGGTTTCTGTGTTGATAGATTCTGCTATTTAAAAAAGTCATATGTAAAAAGGAATCATCATCATTTGGAGTAAATTTTATGGATTGAATAATAGAATAATAGAATTTTTTTTAACCTTCCTTTAAACCTTCTTTTAACCTTCTTTTAAAGTAGTAGTTTTTACTGGTTGTATCATGGGGATAAAATTTTCACAAATGTGTAAAAGGTCTACAAGTCTGATTTCACACTTTTGATCGAGTACAGTCATTAGTCGTACTGAATTTGTGAACTTTGATATACATCTTTGTTCCTAATTCTTTCCTTTAGGTTATTATCGCACTGAGAAAGATAAGGGCACACAGTATGAACTATTTTTTAAGAAAGCAGACCTTATGGAATATAGACACGTGACTCTTTTTCGCCCTTTTGGACCTCTCATGAAAGTGAAGAGTGAGATGATTGACATTACTAGATCAGTTATTAATATCATCGTGCCACTTGCTGAAAGAACTGAAGCATTTGCACAGTTCATGCAGAACTTCAGGTAATTCCCAGAGCTTAGTGATTGCGCCTAAAAAAAGAAAAACACATTTCATGCCATTTTATTTAGTTTACCTTCACTGAGTAGGGTTACTTAGAATCGCAGAATAATTTTATAGGCTTTGGGGAACTTTATGTTTTTAATATTCCCTTTATTCTTAAGGCATGTATAGTATATTGTGTTATTGACAATTTGAACTGTGGAGTAAATTGAGGGTGACAACTATTAGGAACTAAATTTGATTACCTTTATAATTGTGTTTTAATTCATTTTAAGCCAAGTTGAATTTTTAAAAATAACTTTATTGAGGCGTAACTTATATACAATAAAATTGACCTATTCCAAGCATACAGGTTTCATGACTTCTGACAAATTTATACATTCTTGTAACTGCCTTTCCAATTAAGATATGGAACATTACTATCTCCTCAGAAAACTCCACTGAGAACAATTTGAATTTCAAAATTGGAATAAAAGACAAATATTCAAGTAAAAATGGGAGAATGTTATTCCATCTTGGGAATCAGAGATTGTAACGGTTTTAAAAGCATTTTTTAAAATTATTAAATTTGAATATTTTTATATGCTGAAGTGTTAAAAATTAACAACTACATATTAGAGTTTGTATTTGAGAAAAATTTTATTTTTTTAATTTAATAATTGTCATGTTTTTAATATTTTAATATGATAGTCTTAATTCTATGTAATCCCAATTTTTGTTCTCATTGGAGTTGTTGGATATGAAAACTAGTTAACACAATTCTGTTGCAGAACATCTGGAAATCATGCTTCCAAATGAGTTTTGCCTTTTTGAAATTTCTTGCTTGAGATCTGATTTCCTAAAGCATTTTTAATTGCCTTTTTGGAATTACCTTCAGATGCTACATTTTTCTTTACAGTTAATAATCTCAATCATGACAAATATTTATTCCTTGATGATAGGTATAATTTCTCTAATTAGGTAGTCTGAGGACAAAATAAGTTTTGAACTAAAACTTGAGTTATTTATTTGATTTTGAACTGATTGAACTTAATTCTTTGAGTAACTTATAGTTTGCTTCTGAAGGCAATACCAAACCTAAAGTTCCAAAAATGTTTCAAAATATGGCAGCTTCTTGGGCTGCTTACATTGGCTCTCCCAAGTGTGTTGCATTCATTTAGACATATATGCTGTTACACGTTTGCTGTGATGCCTTTAATAATTCAGCAGTGTTGCCAGTTTTATATTTCCTTAGCTTCGTGTGATTTTGTTCTAAATGAGTAATGCTTTATTGTTTTCTTGTAAAGCTTCATATGATTGCCTTCTGAATGAGTAGTGCCTTCTATATTTTCCTGAATGAACTTTATTTTTCAACCCTGTCAGGGATGTATGTATTCATCAGGACAAGAGAATTCATCTCACAGTGGTGTATTTTGGTAAAGAAGGACTTTCTAAAGTCAAGTCTATCCTAGAATCTGTCGCAAGGTTGGTGAGCCATGTCCACAATTGAAGTCTTGTATGTATAATAGCAGAAGAATGAGGATTTCAGATACTGAATGAATGAATAATTTTGAATAGTTGCTGTTGAAAGTTGGCTGAGATGTGAGTGGTGGTGGTAGTTCCTCATTTCACCCCTGAGTTTATTCATGCAGCTCTAGTGACTCGTCTTCCTTTAACCTCGGCGCGGCATGGTTAGGGCGCTGTTACTCTGTGGCCCACTCACCTTCTCTGTATTTGCCTCCATTCACTCTTCATTTCCTTCTTTTGAACTCTTTACTTTTTTCTAAATCTAATCCTTTCACTTTGATATCATCTCCTAAGCTTGTCTCTTACTTGCCACCTTTCTTTCCTTCCATCTTCCTAAGTTCTTTCTCTCCCTACAAATGATGCTTAGGTCTCCCCTATCCTTCAGAGACCCCCACCTGACTGTGCAGTGCCCAGTAACTACCATTAGGTTTCTGTCCTTTCACAACTAAACCTCACAGAACAGTAGTTCTCTAACCAAGCAACTCATGTAGTACCTGGCACATAGTAGGTGCTCAGAGGTTTGAATGAATGAATTAGTCATTCCTTAATACTCCTTTATTAATTCTGTAGCTTCTCTTCCTTTTCATCTCTAAGTTATGGGCCCAGAGTTATGACCTAACTGCCAATTTCAGCCTTTTCTCTGACATCCTCTTTGACTGCTTTCTTACACTTGCTTCCTAACCAGTATTTCCTTCTTGAAACTCTCCTCTGATGTTTGTAAAATGTATATATTTTGTAAATGTAGATATGTTATAATGTAAGATACTAGGTTGATTGTCTTTTCTGACCACATCAACTCTGTATCCTTTACTTGCTTCTTTACCTTTCTGCTAGTTGTGGCCACTCCCTAAGAGTCCAGCTTTGTCCGGCCTTTCTTCTCGAGTCGTTCAACTAACATTCATTGAGTCCCACCGACTATGTTTCAGGTACACTGCTTGGGAGTCTGACTGGGGTGGTTGGGATAGGACTGGGCACAGAGGAGGGAGTGCGCTCCCTATCCCAAAGGGACTCACAGCATTGGGGTATGAAAAACACTGTCTTCTCCGTCCCCTTCGCTAGCTGCTCCTCCTGATGTCCCTCTTTCAGTTCACACTAAGCTCATTCTCATAATGCCTGGGCTTGATGTCTGAGAGTAGCATCTTTCACTGATTCTTTCCCTCTAGTCAGTCAGTTTCTGCACATTGCCCAGGACCTCTGCTCTGTCCTTTCCTCGCTGCTGCCACCACCTTAACCTAGGTTCCTTTCCCTCCTTATCATTTTCAGATCACCTACTAAGTGCCAGTGACTGATGTTAGTATCACGGAAGTTGCGTTAATCAAGACTCCTCTGTGGCAAATAATGGAAACTTATAACTTATTTTTAATTTAGTTGAGGCAAATGGGAGCATTATTGAAGAATCTTGGACAACTCCCCAGATTAAAGGGATTATTAAAACCAAATTTAATGAAGAATACCAAAACAGCTTTGGTGTCTCAGTGACTGGGGTCAGAGACTTGAATACCATCAGAATTCTCTTATCTTCTTATCTGTTTTTCTCTGCATGTTGACTTCATTCTCCTGTTGCAGATTGGCTCCTTCCATATATGAGGTATATGGCTGTTGGCGGCTCTGGGCTCACATCTTCTCAGCTTTGCTGTCAGAGAGGAAAGAGCTTTCTCCCAGGTCCAGTTGAGAAAATCCCAGAGAAGGACTTTTGCCCAGTCTTGAGCCAGTTACTATAGCCAGGTGGTATGGGGATATTTTGATTAGCCCAGCTTGAGTCTGGCTCCCTGCCCCTAGGAAGTCACTGTGGTTGGTATATTCTATGATTAGTTCCTCCACTTGATCCTGGAGTGAGAGGTGGTGATTGACAGTTTCCTCAAAAGAGGAGAGAGATCTGCAACATGTGGGGTGGAGGGGGATGGGCACTTAGAGTCCACTCCATGCCTTGTTTGAGCCTTGGCATCCATCTCTCCAGTCCCCATTCTATCCTGTTGTAAGAGTAATCTTTTAAAAATGTTCCTTTTTTGATCCAGCTATCCCCTAGTGCCGCAGTTCTCCAACATCAATCACCTGGGAGTGACTTGTCGCGAGAGAGTCGCAGATGCTTGGCTCCTTCCCTAGTATCTGATTCAGTGGTCTGGGGTGGGGCCTGAGAATTTGTGTTTCTAACAGGTTCCCAGGCAGATCTGATGCAGTGGGTGCAGTCCCTTGGCTGTGGAAACCACTGCCCTTGTGGAAAAACTCTGACTCCTCCCTGACTTCAGAACACTAACCAAGTTTAACCTCTCCTCAATCTGACCCTATTCTGGTCTTCTCTCATTGTTGCCATTTTTATCCCTGTGTTCCAGTCTGATTTGTCAGATTACTGTTCTTTAAAAGGCTTTCTACTTTCTTACCTCCTTGCCTTTGAGATTAATTGATTGGAATGACCTTTACATTCCCCACTGAATTCAGTATTTTAACCAAGGCATAACTTAAATTCTGCTTCTAACATCTTTTCTAACTACTACAGACACAAGCAGTTTTTTTGAATGAATGAATGATTCATTCAAGCAGAAAATACTTACTGAACTCATACCCTATGAGGAGCACTGTGTCCATAGTAATGAACAAAACAAAATCCCTGCTCTCATGGAGCTTACATTCTAGTGGGAGACACTGGAACAGACATGTCTGGTGATACTGAGGGAAACAACTCTGGGCAGAGGGATGAAGATTGAAGCAAAGGGAGGTCAGGGCTACTTCACGTATGGTGTGAAGGGTATCCCTCTGATGAGGGCACATTTGAGCAAAGGTCTAACAAATTCGAGAAAAGAATATTCTTTGTATGTATCATTCATGTGGATTGCATTATTTATTACCAGACATTATTATTGTTTTCCCGTGTGTATATTTCTTAACCTCCCCAATACGTTTTTAAGATCCTGAAAGGTAGTGGCCTCTCAACACTTAATAACTTCACATCACTAGCATGTTGCCTCAGATGTGGGCATTTAGTTGAATATCTGTCCCTGATGATACAGACATTCAAAGTTGATGATTTCCCTACATGAATATAGACCCAACATAATAAATACCTGAAGTGTAAAATATTTTTTGTAACTTGTGTTACAGAGTCAACTTCAAGTGGGACTTACCATTTGTTGTATGTGTTTTCCTCATAGTGAGTCTAATTTTCACAATTACACCTTGGTCTCATTGAATGAAGAATTTAATCGTGGACGAGGACTAAACGTGGGTGCCCGAGCCTGGGACAAGGGAGAAGTCTTGATGTTTTTCTGTGATGTCGATATATATTTCTCAGCCGAATTCCTTAACAGCTGCCGATTAAATGCTGAGCCAGGTGCGTAAAATGTTGGTAGGTGAATTGAGTGTAAACTTTTAGAACAGTGTCAGCACATTCCATATTTTGAGTCAAGTTTTTTTAAGTTATATTTGGCATAATTTAATTGGAATATTAAGTAGGAAATTAAAATTTGCCCCTCTGAAGTTCATACCCCTTATTATTTTGTGGCCAGATTCCAGTGTATACATTAGAATCCAAATAAACAAATGCAACGAAATAAAAAGTCTTGAAATTGATTAAGGAGGAAGTAGAACGCATCAGAAAAAGCCAAGCAGTGTGATATGTGTGAGTCAGAAGCACTCTTCCTCAGGCAGGTGCTGCCAACACTCATGTAGGCATGAACTCATGAAGAAGTCTAGGTACAGATGGTGCTTGGACTCCTGACTGTGCGTTTTGGGGTGACTACTGACTGTACTTTGTTTTATTTATACGTATTTCAAAAATGTTAAGAGCAAATAACTTTTATATATCAGATATTATCCTAATGTGATAAGGAGGTTTTTCTATATTAAAAATTCTCATAGTGTATGTTTTTTATATAGAACTACTCAGATCATGCAGGTTATCTTCTTGCAAATCATTTTGGTTAGGGATGGTTGTGAGGAACTCTGAGACTTGGGGGGATAAATGAGAGTTAGATTTACTGTTTTTGCAGCAGATAGCATGAAGGCCAGAATGTGGTAGTTGAAGGAGATGTATTTGCTTAATGTAAAAGAAATATTTTATCTGAAGTATTTTATATACATTTTTAAATTGTTTCTTTAATGTAAAAGAACAATTTGCCTTGGGGAAATTGAGCTCCCCTCCCTACCTGGGTTTTAATGAAGATGAATGAAGTCTGCTGGGGATCTTGTATTGAAAAGACTGCCACATTATTTACAGGGTCCTTTGCAGTTTCTGAGCACTTTATATTACCATATCTGATTGAAGCCAATTTCAGCACGGTGTTCTCTGTTGAGGGGAGATGGGCTAGCTAGTGAGCCTTAATGGTCTCTTCTGTGCTATTTGAAAACTAATAACAAGGCCTTTTGAGGGGTCATCGGGTACTTAAAACTCAGTCTTCCCAAGTTTTCCAAGTCTTGTTCAGATCTGTTTGCCATTCTATATTTTACTTATTCTCTGTACATCCAATGTACAATATCCTCTGGATTCACTGTTTCACAATTCATTTTGAAGGATGGATTTAATAGATGTTTTGGAGTTTCTTGGTGATTGGTTAACCTACATCTGTTACTGTTAATTCAATGAAATAATGATTAATAAATGGCTCACCTCATGAACAGCTAAGAGAATACTTTTGAGCATCTCCTCAGAGTCAAGGGAATAAACATGTCAAAAGGGAATAAAACATCTTTTAGTCTTTTTTCTCTGTTCTTTTGCAGGCTTATAGTTTCATAGCCTGAATTACTGCTACATTGTAAAATCATTATCATGATCATCAACATGAGGTTTTAGTAACCTGAACGTTGATAGAATGCAATATTAATAAAATAAAATCATCCTATGTAATAAAAACTTTAACAAAAGTGTAGTATATATTGCAATAAAGATCAGTGCTTTATTTTATTCTTTTTGTGATGTAAATGTATATTTTCATTTATAGGTAAGAAGGTGTTTTACCCTGTGGTGTTCAGTCTTTACAACCCTGCCATCGTTTATGCCAACCTGGATGTGCCCCCACCTGTGGAACAGCAGCTGGTAAGACTCTTATTGTCAGTTATGAAAAGCCTCAAAGATCCTTGCTACGTTCCTTAATGTTTGTTTCACTAGTAGAAAAAGTTTCAGTTAAAAACTATAGTTACTATAAACACATTTTCATAGTGTACCCTCTTACATAACATGCTTTCATATTTGTTATTTCAGAGTTGTGTCATTCTGGCAGGGATGTTGGAGATGGGAGAGAAAAGTTTAGGCTATAGAGAAAAATTCATGTTCTAGATAGTGAAAATTTTCTGGTCATTTCTACCAAATTACTTTAAATTAAAAATAAAATTTAATTTTAAAACCTTATTGGAAATTAAAACTACTAAATAAGAAGGAATAGTATACTATGGGAAATTACTTAGAAAGTCTTAGAATGGGAATGCCATATATCAGAACTTAACAGTTATTGACAGTTACACAAGTTTTGGGGAAAAAAAGTTAAACTTCTATGGAATAATTCAGATTTACAGAAAAAGTTGGAAGAATAGTATAGGGCATTCCTATACTTCACCCAGTTTCCCCTAATGTTAGCATCTTACATAACCATGGTTCATTTGTCAAAATTAAGAAATGAACATTGGTAAGTTACTTCTAACTCCACTATAGATTTTATTAGGATTTCACCAGTTTTTCTACTACAGTCCTCTTTCTGTTCCAGGATCCGGTCCATAGTACATTGCATTTAGCCTAATCTTTTATTGTTATTAATAACATTAAGAACAAAAAGGAAACATATAAACTAAGAAGATAATTTAAAATGTTTAAAAAATGAAAAATAACTCCAGGAAAGAATTAAAGATAAAAACAGAAATTAATGAACCAAAAATAATAGGCTACCACACATAGGAGCTTATTTTTTATGTGCAGGAAAAAACTAGTCATAAAGTTAGGTGAATTCAGGGTATAAAAGAAAACACAACCTGGGAAATTAGAATAAGAAAACATTACAAGAAATCAACCTCATATAGTAAGTTTTTAAAAATTCTAAATAGGAAAAAAAAAAATTCTAAATAGGAATTGCCTGGTGGTATAGTGGATAAGAATCTGCCTGCGGATTCAGAGAACATGGTTTGATCCCTGCTCTGGATTATTCATGCCTCAGAGCAGCTAAAGCACACGCTGCAGCTACTGAGCGTGTGTATTGCAGCTGCTAGAATCTGTGCTCTGCAACAAGAGAAGCCAGTGCACTGCAACGAACAGTAACCCTCACTGACTGCAATAAAGAAAGGCCACACACAGCAATGGAGATGCAGCACAACCAAAAAAAAATCTAACTAAAAGGAAAAATTTGAAAGTTTATAAAATATTAACATGAACTAAATTCGTTTTAGTATTTTATAAAAGTTCATCTTAGTATTCTATAAATAAAAGAGGTGGAAGCTCTTAAGAGATTAAGAGCAACTAAAAATATAAGAACAGTTATCAAATAGTTAACCTCCAGATATATATATACATACATATATATATTTCACTGTTGAGTTTTTCCAAACTTTCAAAGAACAGATAATATTAGTACCATGTCATCTGCCTGCCAGGCTCCTCTGTCTATAGGGATTCTCCAGGCAAAATTACTGGAGCATGTTGCCATTTCCTCCTCCAGGGGTTCTTCCCGACCTGGGGATCAAACCCAGGTCTCCCACACTGCAGGCAGATTCTTTACTGTCTGAGCTACCAGGGAAGCCCATCTTCATACCAACCCCTGGTAAAACATGTGTACATAGCATACACATACACAGATGTCTACTTTATCTGTAGGATGGTATTAGGAATATAGATAGAGTTAGTCAGTTCAATCGCTCAGTCGTGTCCAACTCTTTGCAACCCCATGAATCGCAACACNAAGAAACTTTTTAGTTCCTGTTTACTTTCTGCCATAAGGGCGGTGTCATCTGCATATCTGAGTTTATTGATATTTCTCCTGGCAATCTTGGTTCCAGCTTGTGCTTCTTCCAGCCCAGCGTTTCTCATGATGTACTGTGCATATAAGGCAATTAAGCAGGGTAACAATATACAGCCTTGACGTACTCCTTTTCCTATTTGGAACCAGTCTGTTGTTCCATGTCCAGTTCTATCTGTTGCTTCCTGACACGGGGTCTGGGCATCCACATCTGCCTTATCTGACACTCTAAATCCTTTGTAGAAATAAATTATTAAAAATGAAAAGCCATATTAGAATTGGAGAATGAGAGAAGTGCCATTGGGAGATCTAAATTTTGAGAACTTTCTATAAGATGACAATAGTTGTCATAGGATTGGTTACTGGAGGAGAGAGCAGTCTGGAACATATTTAGGAGAACAGTGACAATGAGGTTGCCTTGCATCCTCTGAGCTCATGGAAGACAGGAGTGGTGGAGTCTGTGTGCTTCTCTGGTAGGTGTGCTGAGCAGCAGGCATCACAGGCATTGACCCACAGGCTGAGGAAATATGTTTGGTCCCTGGAGCTAGAGAGGCAGGGTAGAGCCCTAAGATTACTGATTGTAGGGTGGATGGGGAGTCCCAGACTCCAAAGGTGAACTGCTGTTGGCACATTCTGTCCAAGACCATGTTTAGCCCCTTCTTCACTGTTACTGGAGATAGACCTTTGTAATCATAGCAAACAACCATGGTTTTTGAACAGTGATTTTTGAAAGAAAAATGAGAAGCAGCTAACTACAACCAGCCAAACAGTTGAGGAAAACTAACACCATGAAAGAAGACCAAATTTTAATAAATAGAAAAATTGACATGTGAGTATATGAATAGAAATAGCAAACAACCTTAACTTAAATATATCTTTAAGGAAATTAAAGAAAATGTTAATTTCATAAAATTATTAACATTTGTTACTAAAAATAGAACTTGGAAATTGCAAAAATATTGAACTCAATAAATGGGCTGACTAGCAGAATGATCACAGTTGAAATAGATTTGTAAACTAGCAGACAGGCCAACTGGACATATAAAGACCAAGAGGCAGTGTGAGAGAAAAATCAAGATATGGGAAATCAGTTCAGAAGCTCTAAGACTGTTAAATAATTGGAGTTCCGAAAGGGAGAGAAAAGAGAGAACAGAGCGAGAAGGAAATAGAAGAAAACATCAAAGAACTAGGGAAAGAGAAGTCTTCTGGCATTTGAGAACAGAAGGGACAATCCTAATAGTTCCCAGAGATGCTCAAAGTAGCAGAATCTAGCTTATCTACAAAGGAATAATAATCAGGTTGGCACTTACAGCCTTTGTGATAATATTGATACTAGAAAATACTAAAACAGTCCCTTGAACATTCTAAAGAAAAATAACTTCAATTATAGAATCCATATTTGACCTATTTGAAAGCAAAGTAGATATTTTTGAACACTGAAGAACTCAGTTTAACTATTTTTCAGAGGCCTTTTCTAATTCAGCAGAATGAAAAATGAACATATTGAAAGAGGAAGACCTAAGAATAAGAGTGGTCAACAACAATAAGAACCCAGTAAAACTTCTTTAATTAATTTCTTTAAATAGTTGATGAAACACATAATAAAAAAAGTTAAAAAGCAATTTAGGATTAAAAAGTCAAAAGGTATATACATAGTATACATATGTGTATTACCTCTGTCCCAAGATACCCAGAAGCAGTGACATCCTTAGAGTAATAACCATGCCCAGCTCCCAGATCTTAGTGCTGAGATGGGTAATAGAGGAGCCCAGAACATCTTGTAGCTCTAGAAAAAAAAGATGATGGTATATGTCAGAGGGATGTAAGACCCTGAAAGAGCTCCCAGTGGCAAAGCTGGAACAATTTGAGCAACAAACTAGTACTGGATTATAACACCAGCATAAAATAAATATCATGAGTCCATTACTGATATGAATAACTTTGTGAGTGAATAAGGAGATAGATAATAATAATAAATGACAGATTGATGGGTTGATTAGATTAGATGGGGGGAAAAGGAACAGATCTTCCCCAGAATTTTAAAGAACTCTTGTAGGTACTTCCTTTTCCACAAGGTGGAGCTAGGTGATTCACTTCCAAAGAAACAAGTAAGAAAAAAAGAAAACTTTTTTTTCTTAACTTTTCAACAGAGAAACTTACCTGGCAGGCACCACCTTAAACTAAATAATGAAGGTTAACATCACTAGTGTTGTACCCCCCACATATGATGTAACAAGAAGGGCTTGTCACCCTTGTGGTCTTTCTTCCAAAACCCTATTCAGTTCAGTTCCGTTCAGTTGCTCAGTCGTGTCTGACTCTTTGCGACCCCATGAATCGCAGCACGCCAGGCCTCCCTGTCCATCACCAACTCCGGAGTCTACTCAAACTCATGTCCATCAAAAACCTATAACCCCAGCCTAAATCATGAGAAAAACTTCAGACAAACCCAAATTGAGGGACATCCTATTAAATATCTGACCATTACTCCACCAAACTGTCAAGATCATCAAAAAGAAGACTGAGAGGCACTCACAGTTTCTCAGGAGACTAAGGAGACAACATCAAATGTACTGTGCCCTGCACAGCTCCTAGAACAGAAAAAAGAACATTAAAGGAAAAACTGGTAGAATTCAAATGAAGAAAAAAACTGATGGAATCCAAATAAAGTGAGTTAGTAGTAATGTATCAATGTTGGCTTCTTAGTTTTGATAAATGTACCACAACAGTGTAAGATCATAACTTTCAAAGGAAGCTGAAACTACATGAGAAATATATGGGAACTCCTTATTATGTTGTAACTTTTCTGTAAACCTGAAATTGTTTCAAAATTTAAAAATCTAAAAATTTTAATTGAAAAAAAAACCAAAAGAAATGCAAAATGGACTCAACCTATAAGAATGAAGGGCTAATATTCTTGTCTGGTTTGAGAGAATGTGGACAAAGAATGTTTTGAAGTAGATACATTCTAGATGTTGTATAGAAAAATAAGTTTAAGTGCTTCCACTTCAAATTCTAGTTTCACCACTTTGTAACCATTGCAAGTTATTTAACCTATTTAAGCTTCATTCTCCTTAAAAAGCATAAGACAAAAGTTTGC